CTCTTCGGGGGGCGTCCAGAACTCTCAACAGAACTGCCGAGAAAAATTTTTTCTAATTAGAAAAATTTCTAACAAAAATTTTTCTCGATAACCGGCAGTTCTGTTGAGAGTTCTGGACGCCCCCCGAAGAGTTCTAGCGATAATTATTAACACTCGAAGCACTCAGAGGCGAAATAAAAAATTTCTCGATAGTTGAAGTTTCGGATTCAAGAAATTTTTAAATCCTAGAGGGAAAAAAATTTTTTCTCGGTAATCGGCAGTTCTGTTGAGAGTTCTGTATAGCCCCTCACGAGTTCTAACGATTATCCTTAAGGCTCGAAACGCTAAAATCAAAATTGAACGAGTTTTCGCTATTTTTCGTTTTCTAAGTCGAGAATTTCAAATTTAATTTACGTAGTATTTTGAGCAGAACTATTTTTGAAACTTATCTAAAACTATAAAACTATTTGAAATCTACTCAGAACTATAAAAAAATTTGGATTTTTTACATAATGGAGGGCGTCGTGAAGTTAGCTCCCCGATTTTTCAAATGGTGTTTTCTTTACTTTAAATGGCAGAACTCTTTCTAAAATGGTCTGAGAACTCTAGAACTTCTCGGGGGGCATCCAGAATTCTAATCATTTTTTACAATTTTAAAAAATGGGGGGCCAACTTCACAGAGATCATATATTTGCTGATTTTATAAATATTTTCAATTTTAACCGTGCTTTACTTTTGACAATTGCGGAATTTTCTTTTTGGCTATTTGATTTTTATATGAAGAAGTTGAAATAAATTTGTTCTTTTGCGCTATTCTCTGTCCGTTTTTCTTTTTTATATTATTCATAACATGAAAAGACCACGATAATTACTATTGGTTTATTAAATATGCCTTTTGACATCAAAAAGTACGAAAATGTGTAGTCAGATAGAATAAACTTACAAAAGAATGGGAAATGTGATTTTATTCTACATAAATAACTTTTTTTATTATCAACAGTTTTTGTAATGAAGAATTGCGTATTTAATTCAATATTTTAATTCTTTTAAAATCTTTCTCAGTCTGCACATGAGATAATGAATACTGAATTTAAAAAAAACTAATACTTTTGCGAATAAAATTCAAACAAATCCCTCTTTTATAGTTGATATTATTTGTTTAAATCGGTTTTGAAAAATAAATCTTTTGGGTGGAAGCTTAAATCTTTCTACTTACCTTTTGCATTGCAAGCTACTTAAAATTTTTATGTCATTTTCACATTTCCGGCAGGAATTAATTACGAAGGGTACAAGCAATCTGCATTAAAAGATGATTTGAAAATTACGTTAGCTCTACTAGCCAGACTAATGGCCTATATGAAGTTAGCCCCCCATTTTTCGATTTTGAATATTTTTTTAGTTGTTCCAGGTTGTTCTACGTTTGTTCTATATTGTTCCAAAGTTATGAACAAAAAAATCGAAAAACATGACGGGAAAAGCAAAAAAACGATTTATTTTTGTGGCCACCCATTGTTTTTTAAATTCAAATTTTTTTGCTGTTCTGGATTGTTCTAATTGTTCTAAACATTGTTCTAAAATATTAATCCCCCTAAAAAAGAATTTAAAAAGATAAAGCAAAAAATAGCATTAAGCGTCCAAATAGTATTTTTACATTTATCGCTATTATTATATTATGTTTTGACACCAAATTACATATTTAAGCTAAAAACGAATAGAACAACCCAGAACAACTCTCAGTTTCACCAGAACAAACATATAAAAGGCACTTTACTCTTGAAGGTAGAGAATTATTTTGTCTTTTTCGACCGATAATGTTACATCAGCGACACTAAAACCTAGAACAATGAGAAATAGACACAGAACAATCCGGAACAACTCTCAGTTTTGTCAGAACAAACGTTTAAAGAGCACTTTACTCTTATATTTAAAAAAATAAAAAAATTCAAAAAAAACACTAATCGACACTAATCGCTGATGTAACATTATCGGTCGAAAAAGACAAAATAATTCTCTACTTTCAAGAGTAAAGTGCTCTTTAGACGTTTGTTCTGACAAAACTGAGAGTTGTTCCGGATTGTTCTGTGTCTATTTCTTATTGTTCTAGGTTTTAGTGTCGCTGGTGTAACATTATCGGTCGAAAAAGACAAAATAGTTCTCTACCTTCAAGAGTAAAGTGCTCTTTAAACGTTTGTTCTGACAAAACTGAGAGTTGTTCCGGATTGTTCTGTGTCTATTTCTCATTGTTCTAGGTTTTAGTGTCGCTGATGTAACATTATCGGTCGAAAAAGACAAAATAATTCTCTACCTTCAAGAGTAAAGTGCCTTTTATATGTTTGTTCTGGTGAAAACTGAGAGTTGTTCCGGATTGTTCTGTTCGTTTTTAGCTTAAATATGTAATTTGGTGTCAAAACATAATATAATAATAGCGATAAATGTAAAAATACTATTTGGACGCTTAATGCTATTTTTTGCTATATCTTTTTAAATTCTTTTTTAGGGGGATTAATATTTTAGAACAATGTTTAGAACAATTAGAACAATCCAGAACAGCAAAAAAATTTGAATTTAAAAAAAATGGGTGGCCACAAAAATAAATCGTTTTTTTGCTTTTCCCGTCATGTTTTTCGATTTTTTTGTTCATAACTTTGGAACAATATAGAACAAACGTAGAACAACCTGGAACAACTAAAAAAATATTCAAAATCGAAAAATGGGGGGCTAACTTCATATAGGCAGACTAATGCACGACTTGGTGCTCGCTTCCACTCAAAATGATTTATTTATTTTCTGGAGGTACACCAGGGTTAACTCTGGGTCGAGATGCTCTCAGTTAACTTTGGGTTAATTCTCTGGGTCATCGTATGGAGCCTCGCGCGTTAACCCTTTGTGTGTTACAATATAACGGATGACACTCCAACCGTGATTGTATTTCACAGTTACGATTCGCATACTCGCGCGCTCCATTCGTTTTTTAAAGAGCAGCGCATTCGAAATTATTTTTAACACGGTCATTACATCGTCCCTTTAGCGACAATTTGAAATGCAAATAAATAACCGTTAACCGTTTCCTATTTTACTGCAATTAAAAATATCTCCACATTTATCCGGCGATGGCGAATCAATGTTATTTCCGTTTGATGTTACGCGCAACAGTGAATTACATTAGTTGTATTTTTCGCAATAATTGTTGCATTTAATTTATTTGTTTCGTTTATATCTCTGAGTACAATATCAATTCTCTCATGTAGAAAATATATAGTGTGTTTTTCTATTCTTCAATAATAAATATGATTAAGATTTTTCGAAAATACTAATATTCTATGACATTTGTGAACACGCGATTATTTATCAGCTTATTATTCATTAGGTTATGATACTTGTCGAAACTATTCAAAGCACGTAACCGTGACGCGCAGATAATTGCTTGTCGACATTACCATGACGAACAAATCAAACGGCTGTTACACGCCATATCGACAGCACGTCAACATTGCAATTGACGTTGTGGTTCCGCGAATGCGGGAGATTAAATCCCTTTTCGACAAAGATTAATATGTCAACAGCGTCTTCAAAAAAAAGACCAACAACCGTTTCGTACAATGACGACTCTTCTTTGTCACGGCTTGCCCACGCGTGATAAGTTATGGTAACAGCGATGTCACCGCATATACATGAGCACCACATAGTTTGACAGTTGAATAAATAATTCTCTACCACAGAGCGATGCGTGCAACGACACATGCAATTACATATGACTGCGCGTTGCCGCATAGCTTTGTATAATCAGCCTCGTTGCGGTCAATTTGAAGGAATTATCATAACACCTGCTACGCGCCCGGACCCTTAATTAACGCCCATCTCAAGTCTTCGGCGCGCAGGATGAAACGTTAATGTAGAAAAAACCGCAATAATGCAACACGACAAACTGCGACATTGAATATAAATTTTCTCCGGAGCAACCGGCGTGCATCGCG